CCTACCTCCTACACAATACACCTGCAACATCTGCCACATTGCCCCCCATCCACCCTGTCATACGCCTTTTCCAAATCCATAAATGCCACAAAGACCTCTTTAGCCTTATCTAAATACTGTTCACTTATATGTTTCACTGTAAACACCTGGTCCACACACCCCCTACCTTTCCTAAAGCATCCTTGTTCATCTGTTATCCTATTTTCCATCTTACTCTTAATTCTTTCAATAATAACTACCATACACTTTACCAGGTATACTCAACAGACTTATCCCCCTATAATTTTTGCACTCTCTTTTGTCCCCTTTGCCTTTATACAAAGGAACTATGCATGCTCTCTGCCAATCCCTAGGTACCTTACCCTCTTCCATACATTTATTAAATAATTGCACCAACCACTCCAAAACTATATCCCCACCTGCTTTTAACATTTCTATCTTTATCCCATCAATCCCGGCTGCCTTACCCTCTTTCATTTTACCTACTGCCTCACGAACTTCCCCCACACTCACAACTGGCTCTTCCTCACTCCTACAAGATGTTATTCCTCCTTGCCCTATACACGAAATCACAGCTTCCCTAACTTCATCAACATTTAACAATTCCTCAAAATATTCCCTCCATCTTCCCAATACCTCTAACTCTCCATTTAATAACTCTCCTCTCCTATTTTTAACTGATAAATCCATTTGTTCTCTAGGCTTCCTTAACTTGTTAATCTCACTCCAAAACTTTTTCTTATTTTCAACAAAATTTGTTGATAACATCTCACCCACTCTCTCATTTGCTCTCTTTTTACATTGCTTCACCACTCCCTTAACGTCTCTCTTTTTCTCCATATACTCTTCCCTCCTTGCATCACTTCTACTTTGTAAAAACTTCTCATATGCTAACTTTTTCTCCCTTACTACTCTCTTTACATCATCATTCCACCAATCGCTCCTCTTCCCTCCCACACCCACTTTCCTGTAACCACAAACTTCTGCTGAACACTACATTTTTAAACCTACCCCATACCTCTTCGACCCCATTGCCTATGCTCTCATTAGCCCATCTATCCTCCAATAGCTGTTTATATCTTACCCTAACTGCCTCCTCTTTTAGTTTATAAACCTTCACCTCTCTCTTCCCTGATGCTTCTGTTCTCCTTGTATCCCATCTACCTTTTACTCTCAGTGTAGCTACAACTAGAAAGTGATCTGATATATCTGTGGCCCCTCTATAAACATGTACATCCTGAAGTCTACTCAATAGTCTTTTATCTACCAATACATAATCCAACAAACTACTGTCATTTCGCCCTACATCATATAACTTGTATACTTATTTATCCTCTTTTTCTTAAAATATGTATTACCTATAACTAAACCCCTTTCTATACAAAGTTCAATCAAAGGGCTCCCATTATCATTTACACCTGGCACCCCAAACTTACCTACCACACCCTTTCTAAAAGTTTCTCCTACTTTAGCATTCAGGTCCCCTACCACAATTACTCTCTCACTTGGTTCAAAGGCTCCTATACATTTACTTAACATCTCCCAAAATCTCTCTCTCTCCTCTACATTCCTCTCTTCTCCAGGTGCATAAACGCTTATTATGACCCACTTTTCGCATCCAACCTTTACTTTAATCCACATAATTCTTGAATTTACACATTCATATTCTCTTTTCTCCTTCCATAACTGATCCTTCAACATTACTGCTACCCCTTCCTTTGCTCTAACTCTCTCAGATACTCCAGATTTAATCCCATTTATTTCCCCCCACCAAAATAATACATAATAATAATACGTAATAAAAAAAGTTCACCCCTGACAGTGACAAGATAAGGGGAGATAACATCTGATAAGAGCTGATGTTTGATGAGCATAAACTAGGGTGGGGGAGAGTGCAGCTGATAAGAAAAGATTAGATGACCATCCCCCTTGCTTTGTTTTTGCTGGTACACTAACATTTCTGTCTGTCTATTTGTCTGTCTGTCAAGCTCCCTGTCTATCTGTCTATCCATCTAGCTCTCTGTCTCAGAGAGAGCCTCAAGACTGCGTCATCACCTTTACTCACATCTTCAAGCAGAGTATAGCACTTTGTCTGGATTTTTGGGTTATCCTAGGTAATTTATACTACGTATACTTGTATTTATGTGTACCTGTGAGACAGATAGACAAAGACAGATTGAAAGAGATAGACAGAGACAGATAGACAAAGGCAGAGACAGACATAGATAGACAGAAACATAGACAGACAGATAGAGACAGAGATAGACAGAGACAGAGATAGACAGAGACAGATATAGACAGAGACAGACAGGAGATAGAGACAGATAGACAGACAGATAGACAGAGATCGACAGACCCTAAACTTGGGGTTAACATCACTTTCCTGTTAAAACAGAATTGTTAATATGACATTACATCAGTGAATTATTAGTGTTTGCTGTACTGTTTGCTCTAGCTGGTGCTCAATTTAACTGGTGCTCCCACAAGGTACTAAGTGGTCCCAGATTTTTTTAATACTGCGCACACCGAGTGTTAAGACCAATTCTATGCTGACCAGGCATCTCAGGCCAATCATGCCAAATTTGGAGGCAGGAAAAATAAAACATATATATATGTTTGGGGCGCTACACGAGTGAACCTATATATACGTTTGGACCGTTTAAGGGTTAAACACTAAATATGCCCCCAAAACACTTTAATTTAATTTCAAACTCAGCTTCATACATCACCCTTAAAAAAACAAAGAATGTAGAGATAAACCCATACACAGTACTGTACTGCTGTCTCCTGCAGTGCTAAAATGTAACATGCCGATGTTACCCCCATATGTACTGTAATCCGACTAACCCTGCTGTAGTCTCCCTTATTATCAACACACTAAAAAACAAGACAGGAGATTTAAATACCTTACCACCCTTTATATACAAAAAAGCATCACAAGTACTATCACCAATCATTGCAACACTCTTTAACAAATCCATAGAATCCTCTACCTTCCCTACAGTTCACAAAATAGCAAGGGTCACCCCGATCCATAAAGGAGGAGACCAAACAGACTTGAATAACTATAGGCCAATATCCAACTTACACCCTCTCTCTAAAATCTTCGAAAAATTAAATCATAAGTGAATCTATTCCTACCTCATCTCCCACAACATACTCAACCCCTGTCAATTTGGGTTCAGGCCTAATAAAAATATACTAATGATGCTATTATACACACGCTAGAACACATATACACTGCAATAGAGAAAAAAGAAGTCCCACTGGGAATCTTCATAGACTTACGTGAAGCTTTTGATACAGCTGACAATGACTTGCTTCATATAAAATTGTCGCACTATGGTATAAGAGGACACTGCCTCAACTACCTAAAGTCTTACCTCAGTAACAAAAGCCAATATGTGTACACAAACGGGGCAAACTCTTCAGCACAGCCAATTACAGTTGGTGTCCCACAGGGAAGTGTCCTAGGCCCTCTTCTCTTTCTCATATACATAAATGACCTACCAAATGCATTGCAACTACTCAAACCCACACTATTTGCAGATGACACTACATACGTCTTCTCTCACCCGAGCCCAGTCACGCTAGCCAATACTGTAAATACCGAATTACAGAAAATACCTACCTGGATGAGTACTAACAAACTTACTCTAAACATTGATAAAACCTACTTCATTCAGTTTGGTAACAGAGCTACAGACGTTCCTCCTAACATAAAGATAAACGGATCACCTATCACAAAACTCACAGAGGGAAAATACTTAAGAATCCACCTTGATAATAAACTCAAATTTCAAACACATATACAACAAATTTAAAAAAAAAAATTCCAAGACCGTAGGCATACTATCAAAGATATGGTACTATGTTCCACAGTCAGCCCTCCTGGCCCTATATCACTCACTTATTTACCCCTATCTCACCTATGGAATTTGTGCATGGGGCTCAACAACAATAAACCATCTCAGACCATTAATTACCCAACAAAAGCCTGCAGTCAGAAAGATAACAAATTCCCACTACAGGCAGCACACTCCACCAATATTCAAAACTCTAAACCTACTCACCATTCAAAACATCCATACTTATTACAGCACCTACTACATTCATAGAACACTTAATTCTGATATAAACCCTCCCCTCAAATGTCTCCTTACCAACCTCAACAGAACACATGACCATAACACAAGGCACAGATCACTCTTTGATGTTCCTCGAGTCCATCTCACGCTATGCAAAAACTCATGCACATAAAAGGCCCTAAAATCTGGAATTCATTACCTGTGAATATAAAAGAAACACTGTCTGTTTATAAATTCAAGTCTCTTCTCAAAAATCACTTACTCACCCACAACTAAATAAATACTGAATATTTGTATCTCATTAATTGTATCATAAATGTTTCTCATTATTTTATTCTATAAATGTCTAACCTGTGACCCAATCAAACTTTATTTTTTAAAAAAACCATACCCCGGCCGAGATTGAACCCAACACAGTAAATGACCATATGACCTGTCTTTGTAATACTCATTTGTGCTAAATTGTTATCTGTTTACAATAATGTTTTTACCACTGAATATATCATTGCTTAGTTAATCTTAAGTTAATTTTAAGCCTGCTCATAATGCTCTGCATACAAGGAGCTTTGGCATGTTGCACTGTAATAACTTTGTACTTCACTGTATCATGTTCAAATTAATAAATAAATAAAATAAATAAATAAATTCATGCAAGCCCATTTTCTTTGGTATACGTACGGTAAATATGCTGAATTTACATTAATATTTATGTTACAAAATTATTAAATAATATTTTTCTTAATACTTAGCATTAAAATGTATACAAAATTATATATTGCCATGAAAAAAGCCAAAAAATATAGCAAATTTGCAGGGGTTTCTGTCTGATACAGTAACACAACAAATAACTCTTTTGAATAGACTAACTACACTGTTTTTTGATCCAAAATGTAGTAAAATAGTATATATTACCATTACAGGTTGTTGTCTGTTGCCAAGAGTGAACTGTAAACCTCGCGGTGGGTTTCCTGATGACTGCTCAAAACAGTGACCCTCCAGGAGTAGGTGTTCCAGCTCAAACTCGCTACACAAAAAAAAAAAAAAAACATGCAAAGATCTTATTCACAAGCCAGAATAAAAAGAAAACAAAATTATTACATCCCCTGAAGCCAGTTCGATTTTGTCTGACAGATTTTTTAAATAACACAATTTTATTAACAATGAAAAATATTAGTACTGGCCAAAGGGAACTCTCAGCTTATGAACATATCTAATATTGTACTTATTCCTACACAATTATTACACATTTTCTTATCCTCTTTCCCTCTATATAAAGGAACCTCACATGCTTTATGATAATCTCTGTCCTCACACACATTAAGGAAAAGCAAAAGCCACTACAAGAGTTAACCTGCTTTCATTATATCATTATATGCATTCAATCCAAGGCAGGGTGTCCTGGAAAAGAAGAAAGCTATAAAGTTTTTCTTCTTCTTTACATTTAGTAATTTATACAGGACTTACTAGCCCCTTGCTCCCAGCATTTTAGTCACCTTTTACGACAAGCATAACTTACAGAGGAAGGATTCTTTTCCACTTCCCACATGGAGAAAGGTGACTCACGAAATCGTAATGCCATGATTGCAAACAAATCATACCACGGGTGGGGTTTGAACTCGCGGTCAGAGAGTCTCAAAACTCCAGACTGTTGCGTTAGCCACAGGGCCAGCTAGCTTCAATAAGATTCATCCAACTAGGTATATTTCTACACCATAGGAAGGTTAGCATAGGCACCACCGTGTCAACAAATGCAAGGTTTTGCAGACAAATCTCCTGCTAGCATGGCCATGACAAACTCTAGCTCAAGTCCCCTCAAAGCCATTATCATGGCCCAGTGGCTAACGTGACGGTCTGGAGTTTTGAGACTCTCTGACTGCGGGTTCAAACCCCACACGTGGTATGGTTTATGGAGAAAGGTGCTTTAACGTTATTAAATCAAAAGTCACACAGAAAAAATTTTAAGAACATGCCCAACTTTCATTGACTTCCTTCACCTTCATGGATGCCACTTGGCTCATTCATACTCAAAAACAAGGTATTAAGCATGACTTGCAAGCTAACATTTTCAAAGTTTCAAAATAATGTTTTCTCCATTTAATCATTAGCACAATTCCTATAAAAAAAAAAAAAAAAAAGGATTATGTAATGCACATGCTTGTCTCAAAAGCATAAAATTACTACAATATTTAAAAAATTAAACTGAAACATCACTATGTCTCTACAAATATTCAAATGACTCCATACCTGTGAACTCCAGCCTCTACGGACTCCAGCTTGATATTATCCAGATCATAGATCGAGTGGATCACCTCCACCAACCAGTTTTCTGGAGCATGATAATTCAGAGTAAGGATGGCCGATTCAGGGAGGCCAGTGAACCTAGCATGAGGTCCAGCTGTTAATTCACCAGCATCTGAAAACTGCGGTTCCGGTTCAAGCACGTAACGGTAGAAACTGTAAAAGATCACAATCTTTATTATTTAATTATTGTCTATTAACACCATAAAAAGTACATTAACATAATCTGTATTGCTACTGTTATACTCATGGAAAATGTTAAACCCTTGAAGGTCGAGACCCCCAATCTGAAAATTCCCCACAGGGTCCAAGAACTTTCCCCCCCAAAAATTTATTAGCTTTTCTTATGAAATGGCAGAGAATCCTTTTATGAAAGTAATAAAACAAAAAGTACAAAATTTGATCAAAAACTGACGAAATTACACTCTCGTGAATTTTGCTGTGTCAGCGATATTTACACATCAGCGATTTTGCTCACTCTGAGTCCTATTTTTGGCCAATTACATTGTTCCATTAGACCAAATTCTTAGTTATTTTGCTAGTACATGTTCCATTTTATCGAATGAGCACAAGAAATTGCCCAACCAACTATTTCAAATTAGGTCAATTTCACACAAATTTCAACATATGCCAATTTCAAAATAGGGTCCAGAATAAACAATGCAGACATTCCTGGCACTAAAATGACATTTTTTTCTGTTCATTAATTATGTTTTCAGGCTTTACACATGAATTCCATTTTGATTTTTTATTCACACAAATAATTTTAATTCACACATAAAAATAGAAGAGTTACTTTTATGCAATATTGTAATAATGTATAAATAATATCAGTGCATCCATGAATGCATATTAGACCCACCTGCTGACGTGAACTGGACGCGTGACGTGATTTGTTTACTCTTGAACATCAGCAAAAACAAACATTTTCACAACTTTGAGCTCAACTTCAAGTTATTGTTAGTCCTAAAACCCATCAAAATCTTATCAATTTCTTTAATATATCTTTCATTCTATCAAATGAGACCAAGAAACCGAGAATACAACCATAAAAACCACATGAACATGCGTCGCAAATTTGTTTTAAACCAAATACATGATAGCAGTTTTTTCCTCATTATGCACTGCATACCGCAGGATTTTTTTTAATATGGAGCACACTTACCGCATAGGCCCAAATTTACCTCTGACAGCATATATGAGTGAGCTGAGCTCATCACACAGAACTACGACACAGACCCCTCAAAAGGTTAAACTAGTATGGCTTATTCAGCAATATTTGGCAAGAGCACAATAACTGAGGGTGAGAGATGCATGTATTGAGTGAAGAACATCAGCATATGAGGAGGAGGGTGAGGGGACACAGATTATGTAGAAAATCAGTTAAGAAATCAAAGAGAATGATCACTGAAGGTGGGACTGTCAGACTGGGGTGCAGACAGACAAGAGAGTGAACCTGATTTGTAGATGACATATATATATAGCCTTAAAATAATTTCATGGGCATAAGGAAGTCTTCCTAATCCAGAAGCTAGTAGAACAAGAATCTATATCTATAAACTGAGGATATAAACTAACAGCTGCTAAAAACAATAGAATGGTTTACAATTATAGTGCCACCACTGATAATAATAGTGCTTTCAGGAGATTAAAAAAGAGAATTTGTAGAGGAGCTAAAGTGAACATTGAAAAGAGAATGACAGTGAGGGGAAGAAATAGAGGCAAGCAATATTGGACATGAAATATTTAGAAGTGAAAACCATATTTTCAGGAATGTAAAGTGCATCCCTTCCCCCTTCATAAAAGTCTCAACAAATCACTCTGCATCTTAAATGCTCCAGATCAGGAACATACCTTTGATATACCTTTGAAAAGTTTCGAGAGTTTCTCTACTCTATGAGCCCGGCCATGGGCCAGACATGTCTGGTGCTTGCCTGAACAACCAGGCTGTTGCTGTTGGAGGCCCACTGCCCCACATACCCATCACAGCCTGGTTGATCTGGCACCTGTTGAAGATACTTCTCCAGTTACCTCTTAAAGGCTTCGACACTTGTTCCAGCCATGTATCTGATATCTTCTGGTAAGATGCTAAATAGTCTGGGACCCCGGAGGTTGATACAGTGTTCCCTTATTGTCTCCAACACACCCCTGCTCCTCACTGGGTTTATTTTACACTTCCTCCCATACCTCTCACTCCAGTATGTCGTTATGGCAGTGTGTAGATTTGGGACCAGGCCCTCAAGTACTTTCCAGGTATATATTATCATGTATCTCTCCTCCGCTCCAGTGAGTACATGTTCAAGATTTGAAGGTGTTCCCTGTAGTTTAGGTGCTTTACTGGCTCAATGTGAGCCGTAAACGATGTGTGTATTTGTTCAGCTCCGATATTTCTCCTGCTTTGAACAGGGTCATCAGAACTGAGCAATATTCCAAGTGAGGGAGCACTAGTAATTTGAAGAATATCACCATCGGCATTATTTCCCTCGTTTTGAAAGTTCTCAATACCCACCCTGTCATCTTCCTGGCTGTCGTGATCTTTGTCTTGCTATGATCTTTAAAAGAAAGGTTAGCTGACATAATTATTCCCAGGTTTTTTACGTGTTCCTTTCGTAATATTTGGTGACCCTCTTGAGTTTTGTATATAGTGTTCCTTTTGAGTTCTTCATTCTTTCCATACCTAAGCAGCTGGAACTTATCACCAGTGAATGTCATATTGTTCTCCACTGCCCACTGGAAAACCCTGCTTATGTCTTTTTGTAATTTTTCAGTGTCCTCTACCATAGTAACTTTCATGTTTATTTTAGTGTCATCTGCAAATGATGATACAAAAGTTTGCCAGGTGTTTTTATCTATGTCTGCTATGAGGATGAGAAACAGCAGAGGTGCCAGGACAGTGCCTTGAGGGACTGAGCTTTTGACCTCGCTGATGCTGGATCTTGCCTTGTTCACTACCACATTTTGTGTTCTGTGTGTTTGGAACCTGAAAATCCATCTGCCTACCTTCCCCATAATGCCCCTGGCCCTCATTTTGTGTGCCATCACTTTATGATGACATTTGTCAAACGCCTTTGCAAAATCTGTGTAAATCATATAAATGTTTTGGTTGTCTTCCAATCCCTCCGTAATTCTGTCATAACGGTTCAGCAGCTGTGACAGGCATGATCGTCCTGCTCTAAAACCATGCTGGTTCGGGTTATGCTGGTTGTGCTGGTTCATGAAATTTGTAATCTGCCGTCTCATCACTCTTTCGAACATTTTTATCATGTGAGAAGTTAGGGCTACTGGTCTGTAATTTTTAGCTAATGCTCTACTATCTCCCTTATGCAAAGGAGCTATGTCTGCACTCTTTAAGGCCTCCGGTATTTCACCTAGATCTAAGCTCTTCCTCCAAAGAATGCTAAGTGCCCATGCTAATGGTACTCACATGGGTAAGCTTGGGTTACTGGCAAGTTGTGGATAGTGCTGAAGTACTGGTAAACAGAACTCTAAACCTCCCTTCAAAACTGTTTTCTAGATTACTTTAGAGTGATTAGAAACTATCATAAATTATAATTTACACGTATATAAATATACAATATATTACTTTTCTACACACACTTTACATACATGGAATACCTAGTAATCTTATTCCCCTATAATTTTTACAATCTCTCTTGTCCCCCATCCCTTTATATAAAGGAATTATACATGCTCTCTGCCAATCCCTAGGTACCTTCCCTACTTTCATACATTTTTTTGAACAAAAGTACAAACCACTCCAAAACGACATCCCTTCCCCCTGCTTTTAACATTTCTGTCATGATCCCATCAGTTCCAGCTGCTTTACCCCTGTTCACTCTACCTAATTCACGCAACTCCCCCATACTCAAATCCAGCTCTTCTTCACTCCTAAAAGATGCTATACCTCCCTGGCCAGTGCATGAAATTACTGCCTACCTTTCTTCATCAACATTTAACAGTTCCTCAAAATATTCCTGCCATCTTCCCAATACCTCCAACTCCCCATCTACTAACTCACCCATTTTGTTTTTAACTGTCAAATCCCTTCATTCCTTAGCCTTTCTTAACCCTTTCACTGTTGAGATCCTCTGCTTACAAACTTGCTCTCAGTGTTGAAGAATTTAAAAAAAAAAAATCTTATGAAATGATAGAGCATTTTTCCCAATGGTAATGACACCAGAAGTACAAAATTTGATGGAAAACTTGAAGAATTACACTCTCACAAAGTGATCTACGTGATATTTATGCATCAGCAATTTTGCCCAATTTGAGCCCTATTTTCGGTCAATTCCATTCTTCCAGTCAACCAAACTCATAGCTATTTTGCTAGAAGTCCTTTTGTTCTATCAATTGAGTACAAGAAACAGCCCATTTACCAATTTCAACTACCCAATAGAGTGATCAAATATTGGTAATTTGGCCAATTTCATACACAATTCAAGGAAGGCCAATTCAAAATAGAGTCCAGAATTAACAATGTAAACATTCCTAGCACTAAAATAAAATTTTTTTCAGTTCATTAGTCACGTCTTAAGGCCTCTCTTATATTACGCTTGCTTTCCATTTTTAAATTTTATTTACACAAAAAATAAGATTTACTGTTATGCAGGCTACTGCATTATTGTAAAAATGGTACAAATAATATCAGTGCATGTGTGAAAGCACATTAGACGTGATCTGTTTAGTCTTGAACATTGACAAAAAACTAACATTTCCGCTACTTTGAGCTCAATTTCAAGCTACATTTAGTCGGTAAAACATTCAAAATCATCTCTAGTTCTGTAATATATCTTCCATTCTATCAAATGAGACCAAGAAAATGAGAATAAAACCATAAAATACCATACAAAAGTATACTGCAAGGTTCCTGTTTTAAACAAAAAGCACTGTAGGAGTTGTTTTTTCTCATTATGCACTGCATGCTGCAGAATTTTTTTTATAGTGCACACAATGACCACTCAGACTCATTCTCTCATATGCAGGCCTACCAGTTTTCTCCCACAAGACTGGAAGCCGCTAGAATTTTGGCGTACTATTACGGGACCAACACTGGCTTGCAAGCTGTAATATTATGGGACCGACAGTGAAAGGGTTAACCTTTTCATCTCACTCCATAAATTTTTCTTCTTCTCAGATATTTGGGAGTAGATTTGTTA